GTTGTATGTATTTACCGCGTCTTGCCGAGGTGCGCGTTTGTTGGCGTCCGATAGTTGTTGGTGTTTAGGGTAGGCAGGAATATCTTGCTGACAGCAGTCAGAACCGGTGTTTCTTCTTCCGTGTTTTTTGGGCCTGTGCCCTGTTGTTGCGTGTTTTGCCAATTGCCATGTGGAAGGAGCCCCCCGCCTCCTCTCCTAGTGCGTGTGTAGGTATCTGTCGGTGGTGAAGCTAGGCTAAGCCCCACCCTTCGACCCAATAGACCAAAAGACACAAGCAACGTGTGGGTGAGATGTGGACTGACGGTTGTTGTAATTTCGTTTTGATTTTTTTTTCTTGACAAACACTACGAGAAACAGCATTACAAACGGCGGGCGAGACCATGTTTCATGAACACGCACAGACCCCACCACGTCTAGTTAATGTAAGGGGAACACCGACAAAAGCGTTACATGTTAACCACGCGAAAGGAGAACGACCCCCCCCAACAAGCATCGAAACACGCGCCGCTGCACGTCCACACATGAGCGGAAAAACCGACCGCGAACATAGAGCAGGTACGCAAGCCTCTTGCAAATCGATCACCTTGTCTTTCAGCTTGCCATCCTCTCTTGTTGCCGGCGCATTTCCGCATCTTGGGCCGCACTCTCGATCCCAACCTTGCTAGTGATTTTTTCCCTCAATCCCCTCTGTTTCGCAACTAGCACCCACTCGCCGGCGTAGTTCACACAAGTCAACCTCTCTCGTCTGCCACGCACGCACCGGTTCTATTGGTCCGGCAATGAGAGCCCGCGGCTTGCACTGCTGCTGTGACGAACATCCACAACTCTCTGCCACAGCTTGTTGTTTGCCCGCAACACAAACAAAATCACGTCTCTTTTGGATTGTCCTTTTAACCTCTCGTCGGCGTTGCTGGTCGTGTGTCACCAAAACAAAAAGTTTGAGAACGACGACGACCTAAGCTCCTCCCGCTTCTCGCTCCCTCTTGTCCTTCTGCCTCTCCTCGACGTCCCTGCCCACCGCCGTGATGTCCTCCGACATGTCGGAGAGCTTGGACCGCAGCACGGGGTCAACCCCGCTGCCGAGCGCGACGACGTCCTCGAGAGTCTTCGACACTAGGGCGCCGAACGCGGCGATCTCCTTGGGCGATTTATCTCTGAGGACTGGGGGGGGAGAGCAGGGTTTCAGATGCGTAGCAGCAGCAGCAGCAGCAGCAGCATGAGGCGGGAAGGTCGGCGTGTTGTTGTTGCTCGTTTTTGAGCAGAAAAAGGCGGACATGTACGGAGGTCCGGCTGAGGTTGGTTAATGGGGCGGATTGCCGCTCGGGAAGAATAGGAGAAAACCCCGAAGATATTTCGTCAAGAGTCGTTGGTCCAGCAGCAGTCGTTGAGTCACTTGCGTTTCTCTCGTACACCGAGCAAGGTGCTGGGGGGGCACGTACGGCAGACAGCGTCTAGGCAACGCATTACTTCCACAAGATTTGTCACGAGCGAGCAGGTCTGACCCATCCCACACCAAAGTTCATCATTCTGTGCCTCGAAGCACCCAACTCATTTGTGCACCCTTCGCAGGTCCACTACAATAACCGAGCCGTCTTCTCCAAAAATTCCTGCTCGTATAGCTGTTGAAAAGAAGAGCGATATCGGGTCAACATATTTTCATTTCAATCGCTGTAGGGCACAAAAAATCGACAATCGTTGATAAACTCCAAGGGTGTGTTTGGTTAAGTATTTTGAGTAAGTACACTCCAACTCGGTGAGTGCGGCTGAGTAGTTGAAATACTTACCAGAATGCTTGAGTGAGGACGAGTATTTTCGAAATACTTACTCGAAGGCTTCAGTAAAAGTTGAGTTTTCTTGAAATACATACTTAAGGATGTACTCAGCGGATGAGTAAAATACTCGAGTATCTGAGTACGCATGAGTAATTTTGAACACTTACTCAACCTGCCGAGTCGCCGAGTTTGATGAGTATTTTTGAAATACGGGCTCAAACGGTTGAGTACACCCAAGTGTTTTTAAATACTTTCTCAGTCTTCGACTATGGTTGAGTAGTACTCTACCCCTGGAAAAAAAACAATATCCGGTGAATACCACCCGAGACTAAAAGTGACGCAGCTGCTGCAAGTGCAAAGGCATCCGCCGATGCAGCACCCTCTTGGAGGCTGCGTAAGCAGCAGCAGCAGATGCTGAGGTGACCCAGATCGAACGGTGCGCGTCAGAGAACTGACTGTTGCTTACAGCAACAGAAAATACTTAATCAAGGAAATACTCAACGGATGAGTAAAATACTCAAGAGTACGCACGAGTAATTTTAAACTACTTACCAAACGGTTGGATAACATTAGTATTTTTGAAATATTCAAGGCCAACACTTAAGGTTGAGTATTTACTCAAAAAATACTCGAGTATGAGTATACATTACTTAACACACCCTGAATAACTCCGACGTGCCGCAATAGTGCGACAGATGAAACCGGGATGCACCAGTACAAGTAAGAGGGGCATGATTTATCTGTATCAGCCCGAGATACTGAGACCGCGACCGTTCATAGAGTGCTGCCGCGACGATACCCTCCCCACCCTTCAAGGGTGTCCAAATGTGCCACACCTCAGCAACTCAAAAAGCGGCTCGGGCCCACCTGCGGAGCACCCAATCTTGGATTTGGGGTTTGAGGGACCACTCGCCCCGTGCGATATTTTCGACCTCCAAGATTGGGTGCTCCGCAGGGTACGCCCGAGTCGTTTTTTGAGCCGCTGTAGTAAGGCGATGTGGGTACCTTTTATGTGTGGTGAGGGTGTAATCGGGGCATCACTCCCTTGATAACAGTCAAGGTCTCAGCATCACACCTATCCGGCTTATCGCACCACCATGCTGTTGTAGCACGAGGTAACGTGTGTTCTTTATTTGTAGTATCGCACCCGTCGACGAGATCGCGACCGGGGTGCCTTCGAAAAAGCTAGAACGAATTTATTAACTAGCTGTACTTCCTCACCGGGGTCGGAAAGGTGGCACCGGTCGGAAAGATGGCACCGGGGTGCGAATGCAAAACAAGAAAACTTCACTTTAACGTACGATCGCCGCACCCGGTGCCCATCTCTCGCACTACAGAATTACGGGATCCCGTTTGCTGCTCATTTCCAATAGCAACTGCCTAATTCTCTTTCTCCATTCAATGGTTGGCACGAGAAAGACGTCTTCGTAGCGTAGGGACTTGCGAATAAACCGCTTTGGCCTCTCACCTGTCCGCAGCGCGGCCCGCATCATGAACCGGTCGTCGTAGCTCAGCATCCGCGTCAGCACCGCCACGTCCTCGCCCATCATCAGGTCCAGCTGCGCGCACACCCTCGTGCGTACTATCCTGATCACGTTTAGGACCTCGTTGCCGTCGCCACCCATCGGCATGTCGTCCTTCTCCGCGGGCACTTTCCTCTTCCTCTTTTTCTCCGCCAAATCTTTCTCCGCCTGTTCCAGTCTCTCCACCTCGCCGTCCAAGTACTTGACGAACTTGTATATTGTTGCATTCGTTTTGTTTTTGTGAAAGCAAACGTGTGCACCGGGGGGGGGTGTTGCTTGCTTCGAGCATTTCGGACCGCCAAGAAGACGCATCACCGGGGGAAAGGAGGGAAGCACTGGTCTTGTGCGTGTGCATGACTCCCATACTTGCTCAAGGCCGCCCTTGACATGACTGCCACGTTTCACAGGAACACATTTTTTTTACACCCGATCCGATGAGAAGCTGTTCCGAAAACAGGGGTCAGGACCGAGTTTGTTTGATTCCCTCGCCTTCAGATCACCCTTACGTACGCATGAGCAGGGAGGGCGGTGGGAAATCTCCTACGCAAGCAGGGCAATTTCGCATGCGCACGACGAACCAGCAACAACGTGTTAACACGAGCAAATCGTTTAACGGTACGATTGCATTCGTCGTCACCTCGAACGTAAAGCGCTCCTGCAGGTTTTTCATTCTCTTGTCGAACACTTCGGGACTTGTCTTGGCGGCTTCGATTATCAACCTGACCAATGGACAAGCATACCGAGAGAGAAAGATTGAGATTGAGATTTGAGAGAGACAGACAGACAGAGACAAGTCAGACGGGTGGAAAGAAAACCTGCGCACGAACAACCGGTGAACGGGCACGATGGACGCTGTGAGGAGGAGGTGCGGGCTTCTGCGTCCAGTAGCTGCGGATTGCATCCTCGGAAGCACGTTCGGTAGTGAGCGGCCCGTGAGCTCGGGCGTACAGTCGTTCGTGCCCAGAGTGGTCTTGACTTGGTTTTCGACAGAGATGACAAAAGCGGTAGTCACCCGACGCGTGCGTGGGGTAGACTGCGCTTATTCCCGCCTTGATCATGTAGCATATCTACCCCAGTACAAGTAAGCACCTCGAACTTGTACTGTGTTCCGGAGAGATTGAGGTCTCTTGTTTTGCTCTAAAGCTGCACAAGTGTTTGCGGGTGTGTTTCCTACAAGGAAACACGAACACTTGCAAGCTGGTGAAATCAGGTATCTCCAGTACACCCGTGAGTGTTCCCGAACTCCAATGTCTAAAATAACGGGGCAACGGAAGGGTGTCCCGGGGTGCATGTAATCGTAGCGACTTCACCAGGGACAGATGTTGTGGTCCTGATGTATACGTGCAACGCAGCAGTCACCAACACATTGTTCGTTCCTTTGTCTCCATCGAGGCCAAATCTCACCTGAGCAAGGTCTGGTTCTCCTTCTGCACGTCGACGGTGGACTCGACCATGCTCTCGAGGAACGACACGATGAACTCGTACGCGTTGCGGAGAGTGTTCACGCGGGTCAGCGTGGGCTCTTGCCTACGTACGCACGAAAAGCATTTTCGAGGTGTCCGCAGCAGCGAAAAATATTGCATGGCGTTAAGCAGGAAGAGGTGAAGGTGTGTATGTATCGCGTCCCCACTACTAGAAAAAAACACACACACATACACATATATCCAATGCATTCGGCGCACCTCCACGCAAAATGCGAAGGTTGATGTTCTAGGTTGGCTTAGGCCCAGTTCTACTGCATGAGGAGGTGTATTCACTGTAGCTTCAACCGTCCGGTGGGCTTGTTTGCCCCTCTCTCTGCCAAGGACTGACCAGCACACGGGACTGCAGGGGTCTGGGCGGAATTTAAGGATCAACGCCGCCATCGCTCCCACGGTCAACGGAGGCCGACAAAACCCAGGTTAAAGGTATAGAGAAGGCAGGGCATCGGACAAAGTGTTGCACCACACCACCAACGACCGCCCATGAAAGGAACACCATTAGCGCCAACGGCGGCAACAGCAGTAACAGCAGCAGCAGCAACAAGACCACCAGCACCACCAGCACCACCGTGAAAGCAACACCGCCATCATCACTGCAACGCGAGCGCAATAAGCTCCTGGAATAGACCATATACCTTATGAGGTCGTTGGTCAGGGCGGTGACGTCCACCGACAGCAGGAAGTCGACGTGCCTGGAGAGGATGGCTGGGAGCTCCTCCTCCTTCTCCTCCTCCAGCACCTCCTCCACAATCCTCTCGAACCTCTGCCGGTCCCTGATTGTCGGCTCCGGCAGCGGCGGCGTCGCTGTCCCCGCAGGCGATGGCGGCAACGGCGTTGAGTCGCGCGAGGAATCGCCCGAGACATCGGAGGCGGCGTACTCCGTCGGCGCGATCAGGTCTACGAACGGATCTCCGACAAACCCCGCACCCACCTCGCCGCCGACCTCCGAGGAGGGTGAGTCGACGTCGTCTACCGGGACGTGCTGTCTAGGCCGGCGTTTCGTTTTTCTCCGAACCGATTGCTTCGGTCGCTGCTGCTGTTGGCTCGACCCTTCCGTTGCGTCTGGTGTGGTGGCGCTCAGTGGGGGTGGTGTTGTTGCGCGGAAGCATGCAGGTCGCTGTGGCAGGAGGGAGGACGGCCGGAGGTGCAAAGGAGTGGTGGCAGCGAACAACGATGTACAAGCAGAGAGAGAGAGAGAGAGAGAGAGAGAGAGAGAGAGAGAGAGAGTGGCGGAGAGGAATACAACATGACACGTATGTGAATTTCACGAAACTGAAGAACCGGCTGGATAGCAGCTGATAAGGATAAACTGCGATGATTTGCTTTTCTGCGTATGGGCGGTGCGGCTGCTGGTGTGTTGCTGTGTGGAGACCAAGGCACAGGACAACATTTGAATGCAAAAGTCGGTCAATAGATGGCAACGACTACTACCGTGGAAACCACAACCACACACGGCATGCGTGCTTATAACCCTCTCACGCACTTCATTTCTACTGCATCTGCTGTGCGGTGATGTAGCAACCGCACTGCGTGATCTTCGCCGCTGCTGATGCGACGCAGGCCGCGTATCCAACCAAGAGGTGCTCGTTGTAGGTGTTAGCAGGAACGACTCCAGTGAAGGAAAGCCCACAGCAGAGAGAATCATCACAAGCAGGAGCTGCGACATCGTGTCCTTATGAAGCAGACGCCAACCAGACAGGCGCGGAGCACGGAGGACCTGGACCTGTGTTTGTGGGTTGACGCTTCACAGGGAGTTGCAGTTGTTGATGCTCGCCGTTACCGCAGCGGGGGACGTCGACATGCAAAAAGGGTATTGAGCGCAGAGGAGTTCTGCGGCTGCTGCTACTGCACATGCACACAGATATGTACGAAGTATGGAGCAGATATGAGTCACCCCGGAAAACACACCACTTATTGATGATTCCTATCCTTGATCTCTGAGCTAGGTGACCTGGACGTAGACAGCACGAAGGAACCTGGATAAATGCGGCGGCTTGCTGTTGCAATAGGGGCTCCGTGAGTGGACTACAGTACTGTTGTTGTGTTCTGCGGGCTAACTGCCAGATGTAGATGAAGGGCACATATGACAGTGCTGCTCGGCTGAAAAAAAAAAAACAGCGGAGGAACAAAAACAATCGGTTTACACAGAAGAGCATGGTGACAGGCGTGCGTTCACCTAAGGATAAAGACTCACAGCAGTAGACTATTCCAGCAGCTATCTAGGGAACCAAGTTTTGCCAATTTCCGTCCGCTGTAGGCTTCAAAGTTGGCGGCGCAACTCGCAGCCCTCTACCCAACAAAATGTGCCACTAGTTTAGAGACTGCAAACGCGGCGTAACTAGCGTGCTTTGCACCCGCGGCAGAGACCAAGCACGAGAACGCGCCCACCACGAGATCAATCACCACGAAAATTGGAAGAAAGACGAACCGAGCTTCAAGGAGCATATTGCAAGAGAATTCAACTCGATTAATGCAGAGGGTCGAGAGGAAGGCACGGATGAAGTTGAAAACTTGCGTTCGCGTACAGGCGTTGTGCTTATGCCCTGCCATGGTGCCGGCAATACCGAGCACTGATAATGTTAGCTGCTAATGTGGTGTTTATACAGCACTTTGAATTGTGCTGCAATACGCACCACAGGTGGAGTACTCTTGAATGGCGTCAGCTAGGTTTGAACTGCAATTGCTTCTGCTTGGTGTTGCACCGCACACACAACGCTTGTGCCTGTTGAGTCGGGACCCTCACACAGCAGCGTAACTTTCCTGATTCCCGAAGAACAAGATGTAAGGAGGAGGGAGTAGCGACAGTAACACGGCACCTACAGTAACAGGGAGTTTGGTCACTAATAGCGTTGTGCTGTCTGATGTCGCACGCAGGCACGGTCGGCATATATTTATGTGCACCTTGAAATGTTTCTTCTCAAAGTTGAAGATTAGTCTATGCACTGAGCATGGGTAGTGTCGCAAACGTTAGGTAATACTTACACAAGGACACCGCACACGAGACCGGGCCCCTAGAGTTGCCCAAACCTATCGACATCAAGCCCGAACTGAAGGATATACAAAAAATTTCTTCCAATTTTACAGTCAGTACACACGACACAGGCCCGAACGCACACAGCACCCCAATAGGTTTCAGGGAGTTTGCCGATAAAACGCGAAGAACAAATTACCATGCCAATACACAACGGACACCCAGCCTGGCCGAGCAAAAAAGACCCCCCCGTCCGTCCGTCTCCCTGCGCAACTATTTAGATACGATAATTGGCCGGGCGAAAACGTGCGCTCTAGCCGGCTGGTCAGCGTTAGGCTTCTGTTCCTACGTCTGATATCTCGTGCCCCCCGGTCGTCGTATTTGATGGGTGGATGCATCCAACGGAAGTGAAGCACGGGCCTGTTTAACCACCACCAACGACGCGCTAAATGTGTCATTGAAAGATGAGGTTAGAATAAATCATTACATAGCGACCTTTCGGTACGATATGGAGACTGACGTGCAAGAATGCCCGGCACGACCTCCCCAACCCCAAGCCATGTATCTCAATGAACGTAACACGCACNGCGAGCGAGCACTTCCTGTCCTTGCACCTGCACCTGTTGCACTGTTGCACAGGACCGTATCCGGATTGCAACCGCACGCCAACGTGACTGTCCTTCGGTCAGGGCCGATGTACGAATACTCGGACAACCAAAGCACGCAGTTCCCGGCTGTGAGTTCGTCGCCGTTGCTCCCCTTTCCTCGTGAGTCGACGCCCCATCCTTTGCCGGCAAACTCGGTCGCCGGCATGGTCTCCCTCAGGCCATTCTGCCAGTACCTGAAGATGGCGTTACCCCGTTCTGCCTACATGCGTAAGTCAAAATAAGACGGACAGGTGGCTGTCGTCTTCTTCTTGGGGAGTTGGAGGATATCGTAGCGGATCAAGCTCACGTAGTCCTCGACGCCGCCGTGGACGCTTTCGAGCAGCTGGCGAGGAGTTCAATGAGCACTGCCAAACGCCGCTTCATCCTTGTAGAAAAACAGTGTGGCCAAAAATTTCGCGTATTCGTCGATTTCTACGGCCCAAGAGTCGTCCTGGTCCTCGAAGAGCAACGGCCGACAAGTCCTCCGTTCGCACACTCTTCAGGACGATCACCCACATCTTGTCGAACGGCAGCCCGGAAATTGCAGGGAGGTAGTCACAGCCCGACTCGAGGAAGGTGAGGACGAACAGACGTACCTTGTCGGCGTCCGTGGGCCTCCAGCTTCTGAAGGTCAAAGGCGGCCACGCGGATTCGCTTCCGTCCTGGAGTTCGCAGATTCTGACGAACTTTCTGTTCATCCACAGGAATTTGGTCTCGCCACCCACGACCCAATGGACGGTCAAGTCAACCGTCCCCTCGCCACGAGGCGTCAGCCAACCAGTGGTCATCGCCAGTAAAATGATCGTCCATAGGTCGGTGTCTTCTGATGAAACGACCCACTTGTCGAACTTTTTGCCCCAGTACGCCTTCGCCCGGGCGATGAAGTGTATCACGCAGAGCTCCGCCTCGCGGATGTCTGGCCCACGATGCCGCTCGACGTCAGGGATCGGGCCGGTTCCGTTTCGAAAGTGTAGGAGTAGTACTGTTTCTGCAAGCGCCATCCTGCTACCGACCCCATCGAGGCCTACATCCTCGGCATTTACACCTGCGTGATTATCACCACTCAGACCAGGTTCACCTCCGACGCCATAGAATGCGACGATTCCGTTGGGCTTGGTGTCGCCGGTCCAGACATCATCAGCCAGCACGCGCATGGCCAGGTTAGCGGCGATTCCGGCCCGCGCCGCCTTACCATCGGCTCGAAGCCATGACCCATACTGTAACGAAGGAACCGGATCCGTTGACTTCGGGTCGAAGGTCCGAGAGCACTCTCCAAGTTTCTCGGTCCTCCCAAGCTGCTCGTGTCCTTTGATTGCCGGCACTAGTTCTTGGCGGTCGTAGCACACTACGAGGAGCTTGGTCGACTTCAACCACTTCGACAACAGCTGCTTCTTGAAGTAGTCGATTATCCCCGCGGTCCCCTTCTCGAGGTGTTCTGGGTGCACCCCTTGGTGGATTGACACGGGAAGATCCACGCCATGAGCTTCGGCGCGGTAAAACGGGTCGTCGTCAAACCCGTCGGCACAGTGCTCTCTGACCGATTTCAACGGACCTGCCGCCTTGTTGGCGTGCTTGGCTCCTGTTGCGTTGAAATGAGACATTTCCAACAGGGTATATGGGGGTGGGGGGGGGGGCGAACACATTGATACATACTTAGATACACGGGTGTTGAGAGTGGGTCAAATTCGGCAGGGAGCGAAAGCTCGAGATGACAAGGTCCTTCAGTGCTTAATCTGTCTAGTCGGACTAATCCACTACTTCGTTTAAATTGCGCACGCTCTCTTCCTCACCTCCCGTCGCGTTGGCCATGCTGTACGGCGTGGCCGCGCCTATGGACCCCACCGTTTCCAGCATCTGGTCTTGTGTCACCACACCCCCTCCTTCTCTGGCCGCATCAAGCAAGTTCAGTGCCCATGCCTTCCTCTCGTTCCCCTCCGCGTAGGCACTGCCGACGGAATCCTTCAGGGCAGACGACCTTCCTTGAGACTTCGTGGTTTTTGTTGGTGCTGTTCCTAGTCGGGATGGAGAAAATATGCTTCTTGGTCGCGCCCTTTAGTTTCTTCTTCTTGAAGACGTAGTCAGGACACATTCTCGAAATTTCGCGGTAGCATTATCGTGGGCGTGGAGAATCTCTTGCCACTTAATCGGCGGAAAGACTCTCCCGTCCAACGCCACGACCTTGTCTTTGCCATCATTGCCTTTGAATGCCGGGCTCTCCCTCAAGCAGTCGATCGCCGCCCTGAATGCTGACGCACGTTTTACACCCAACTCTCTGCAACGGTCCCTTTCCATGCGTGGCTTCTCGATGAAATGCGATTCGAAGTCGAAGATGGCGACTTCGCGCAGCTGGGCAATCGGTGCCAGCTTTTCTATCGTGCTCGAAAGGATCCTTTTCGTCAACGTCTTGTGGAGACGATTGGCCACCTCTTGCCTCTCGTCCAAGTCGATTCGCGCAAACGTATCAGGGCCGAGTGAAACGGATAAAAGCTCGGATACTACCCTCATATCATTGCGCGAAAAACGGGACACCTCCGTCAGGTGGTCTACCACGAGGAACTGGTACTTGTCTTTGCCGGTGATGTAAAAGATGGGGGCGATACGACGAAGGGGATCAAGCTTCAGCCTGGAGTTCCCCGTACGCAAGGCAGTTCGGAAGGCGATGTACGCAGGGTAGTCGTGGAAGAGGAACTGCTTCCACACAGCGAAAGTCTTGTGAGCCTCCGCCCGTGCCTGTATCCACCGAATCACCCCGTGCACCACCTCGTCATCTCCCACTGGCCTGTCCCCTGGCGCCGGAAAACCTTCAAGTATTCCTCTCGACACAGAGCCATAAACGCCGCCCAAAATGCCGTGATGTGGTGGTGCGCCCGACGGTAGTTGCTCCCCTCCCCCGACTTGGACCCGTCTGTGCCCAAGTCCTTTACCATGTTCGTGATAGTTGCTGCTGTGTGTGTCGACAGAGGGACGTAGAACAACTTGATTGGAAAGTTTGAATTGCGGGACTGTCTGCGTTGAAGATCGTTGAGTAGCCACATATTATTAGAACAGCAAGGAGCGTTCTGTGGGGATGTTCTTCGTTGGATGGTGCATTACCCCGAGTGTGTTTCTTGTGGATAGTGCATCAGTCAGAGGATTCATGGTACGTTGTGAAGTACGTTAGCCCCTGTCTGTTGAGTCTTTGTGTTCCGATATCATTGTGTTCTTCTTTTGTGCGTTGGTCGAGCGACATGGGTGGTGCGGTAGTGCTGCTGTGCTGCGGCGTTAGCCCCACCCTTGCTCACTCCACCTTTCGACTTGTTCTCCGGGTCCAAGGTCTCATCAATTCAACATCTTTTCCCGAGAAGCCACGAGTTTACCAACACGCTATAGCGAACCAGTCGACTGCTGCTTNTGGCGCCGGAAAACCTTCAAGTATTCCTCTCGACACAGAGCCATAAACGCCGCCCAAAATGCCGTGATGTGGTGGTGCGCCCGACGGTAGTTGCTCCCCTCCCCCGACTTGGACCCGTCTGTGCCCAAGTCCTTTACCATGTTCGTGATAGTTGCTGCTGTGTGTGTCGACAGAGGGACGTAGAACAACTTGATTGGAAAGTTTGAATTGCGGGACTGTCTGCGTTGAAGATCGTTGAGTAGCCACATATTATTAGAACAGCAAGGAGCGTTCTGTGGGGATGTTCTTCGTTGGATGGTGCATTACCCCGAGTGTGTTTCTTGTGGATAGTGCATCAGTCAGAGGATTCATGGTACGTTGTGAAGTACGTTAGCCCCTGTCTGTTGAGTCTTTGTGTTCCGATATCATTGTGTTCTTCTTTTGTGCGTTGGTCGAGCGACATGGGTGGTGCGGTAGTGCTGCTGTGCTGCGGCGTTAGCCCCACCCTTGCTCACTCCACCTTTCGACTTGTTCTCCGGGTCCAAGGTCTCATCAATTCAACATCTTTTCCCGAGAAGCCACGAGTTTACCAACACGCTATAGCGAACCAGTCGACTGCTGCTTAAAACCATGGCTAGGCATGCAGGTTCCCCCAGCAAGGCATTCCAGGTATTGAAGGATCACTTTCTCCCCTTGAGCCAGGGTCAGATTCGTGTGCAGGAGGACAAACTGAAATCATTGCGCATGCGTACAAACGAGAACCCATCCACCTTCTTTGCATCCATGAGAGAGACGCTTGGTGTTTTGCAGATGCTGAAAGTCAAGAAGGAGGACAGAGAGGTGTGCACACTGATGCTAGAAGGACTATTCCACGAATACAAGACTTTGCGTGAGACTCTTGTAGTGTTTTGCCCGAACGATCCTGCTTTCATCGAGACCAACGTACGTGAGCGTTACCTAGACTTGCAGACACAGACTGGTGCGAAGAAGCACAGCGCAGCTCTTGTGTCTAGAGCAGAGAGGAAGAGAAGCCGGAAGCCAATTCACGCAAAGCCGAAGTCTCGCCCTGAATCTGATTCCTCCAAGAAGAAGACGTTTCAGGGAACGTGTTTCAAGTGTGGGGAGAAAGGTCACATGAGGACGGACTGCCTGGCTCGTGTGATCGCTCATCCCTCCCAGACTGGGAAATCCGAGAACAGGGAGGATAAGACCGGTGAGGAGTTCGAATGGGAGTGGTCTGATTCCGAGTTGGCTAGGTCATCTGAATTGCTGTTGCTGCATCAACAAGCCGATTGAAAATCGGCAATCCCGTAGACTGCCAAAACTGGCGCCGGGAGCATTTCCTGCTGAGATTAGCAAATACCTTTAGTGGAAGAATAGTCATGTCGAAGATTGGTATGCGGACACCGGAACTGCTTTTTGACTGACCGTCTTTCTTGCATGAAGGATTTGAAGCCTTGCCACAAAAACGTAAACGGGACCGGTGGCGTGACTTGTGAGGTAGAATTCTCTGGAACCCTAGAATTGGTGTTTGTGAATGCTGACAGCGAGTTTTCCGTAGAGTTGGAGAATGTACTGTACTCTCCCAACTTGGGATACAACCTTTTTACTCCAAGCGCGGAGTTTGATGGTGAGTCATGGAATTACCTTGGGGGTCCTGATGGTGTGATGACAGCTTTCGATGGACATGTTACTTTTGAGGATTTCGATGGCATGCTCATTTCGACTGCGTATCGTTTAGAGAACAACCCTGTTGGTTCGGTGTTAGCTGCCCTCACTCCTTCAAACCCCAAGCATGAATCTAAGATGGATGTGAACGAGTTTCATAACATTTATGCTCATTCGCATGAAGGATTGCTCCGTACAACTGCAAAGCGACTAGGTATCGAGTTGACCGGTAAAATGCATGCTTGTACGGGATGTTCGATGTCGAAGGCATTCAAGAAAGGGATTGCTCATGAAACAAAATGCAGATCAGACAAAAAGTTGGGCAGAGTTTTTGTTGACCTGGGAGGGCGGAAGGACGTTGCGTCCGTAGGGGGTAAACATTACCCCATGATAGTGAAGGATGATTTCACTAGACGTACATGGATGTATTTCCTGAAAAGTAAATCAGACGCTGCGAGTGCTTTCCGGAGTTTCCTTGCAAGTGTGCGTGCTGATGGTATCCCGTCATTGGTTGAGATTGTTAGATCTGACAATGGGGGGGAGTTTTTCGGAGGAGAATTTGCGTCCGTGTGCAACGAGCTCTTGATTAAGCAAGAGTTCACCCCGGCTTACAGTCCCCAATACAACGGTGTTGCAGAGCGTGGTTTGGGATTGATTGAGGCGGCGGCAATGGCGGCCCGTGTTTAGGCAAAAGTTTTGTTTGGGCATGTGCAGTTACCTAAGACTGACAGACTCTGGGCTGAGGCCATGCACTGGGCTTGCGAAGCACTTAACCGCACAGCTTGTTCCGCTAGCCCCGATAGGAAGTCGCCGTATGAGATGTGGCATGGTGAAGCTAGTCCTACTAGACCGTATCCGTTTGAAACCGGCTTACAGTAGGTGGCAGCCACCGTCTACGCTGCTGCCGAAGGGTGAGGCTTGCTTTTATGTCGGTCCTTCGAGAGACCACCCGCGTGACTGTCATAGAGTACTTACGAGGGTTTGAACTATTCAGGAAACGAGGAATGTGACGTGGGAAGCGTTGCCGTCACAACTCCCTCCACCGCAACCGTCCCTCTTGCCGATTGAGGTAGCAGAGGAGGGAGGGGAGGAACCTGACGACGATGTAGAAGCTGAGGTATGGCCGCATTTAGGGAGAGGAGTCCCCCACATTCTTTTGCGACGTAATGTAACGGTCTCCGGTTGAGCAATCGATGAGGTTGGCAGTGTTGATGCAGGCAGTGTAGGTCAACCCCCCTCTGTGCCATCTTCGCCCGCGATTATTTCCCCCAGTAGCGCAGCCCCCCCTGTGTCTTCTCCAGCAGACGAGTTCACCGACGAGGAAGGACAGGGAGGGCCGGAGACAGGGGAGGCAGAATCGGCGGGTCCGGGAGGGCAGGAGTAGAGTCGGAGAGTCAGGAAGGGTTGGATGAAGAGTTGGTTGAGCCGGGAGGGCAGGAGGTAGAATCGGAGTCATTTCCCCCTGCTACGCACGTACCATCTAATCGTCGTGCGCGGCATGAGCTCGTTAGTTACAACACTGCTGCGAATGAGAATGTTGAAGTCAGAGAAGGCAGAACCCGTGCGCAAACTCGGGCAGTAAATCAGCAGAGCGTAACCGGCCTCATGGCCACTCTAGGACCCATCTCCGCATGAGAAATAATAGAGGCACTCTTAGTGGAACAGAGAGCATCTGATGCAATGGAATTGCCGAAAGTGCTCATTCAGGACGTAGAGTCAGAACCAGGTAGCTATAAAGAAGCCCGTCAGTCAAAATACTCCTCGATTTAGGACAAGGCCATGTCTGCAGAATCTGAAGGCTTGTTAAGAGCAGGAACGCTCGCGTTAGCAGTGAAGGTTCCAATAGGCTGTAACGTGATAGATGCTAGATGGGTCTACAAATGGAAAGCAGATTAAACAGGGAAGATAGTGAAGGCCAAGGCTAGGCTTGTAGCGAAGGGCTTCAAGCAGAAGCATGGTGTGGATTATCGTGAGACTTCTTCGCCCACTGCAAATGCTGCATCGATTCGTTTGTTGGTAGCATTGGCGTGCAAGTATGATTTGGAATTTCTCCACTTTGACATTGAGCAAGCGTTGTTCAGTCGGAATTGGATCACGAGGTGTTCATGAAGTTGCCTCCTGGCTGCGAGTCGATGACAGGAAAGGTAGTCCGTTTAGACAAAAGTTTGTATGGACTGAGACAGGCATCTAGAACATTTCACAAGAGCCTTGTGTCGGACCTGAAGAGGATTGGTTTCGAACAGTCTCTGTCAGACCCCTGTGTTCTTCGTTTCATGATGGGAGACGAGGTGTTGGGTATGATTGCGATTCATGTGGATGACATTCTGGATGCAGGAATTGAGAGGCTTGCCAAGATGGTTGTGGAAGCGCTAGGTGACTCTCTCCCCACGAAGAATTTGGGCGAGGTCAGGTTCTTTCTTGGTTGCGCATTCGTTCGCGACCGCGAGGCTGGTACGATTGAGATATCTCAAGAGAGTTACATCAGGAGTATTCTTGAGAGATTCAATGTTTGTCGCACCAGCACGATCCCTGCTTCCCCTGCTAACGATTACAGGTCCGTGATGGAGGATGAGGGGGCAGGAGATGTGCCGTTTCGAGAGGTGGTGGGGGGCCTGATGTGGATCGCCAACCAGACAAGGCCCGACATCTCGAATGCTGTGCGGGCAGTGATGGCACTCTCACGAGCCAAAGAGAAGCCACTGGAAGGCGGCCCAGAAGATTCTGGATTATCTTCTGGAGACGGCACATCTAACTTTGAAATACAAGTAGGACACTATGGTAGACGTAGGCACGTTGGTGTACGTAGACGCAGACTTCGCCAGTAAGGCCACTGACCGTAGATCAGTTTCGGGAGCACTAGTTCTTGTAGCTGACTGTCTTGTCGCTTGGATTTCTAGGACGCAGAAATGTGTCACACTTTCAACAACTGAAGCAGAGTATGTTGCGATGGGTGACGGTGTAAAAGAGGCTCTGTTTGTCAACGGAATGCTTGAGTTCTTGAGGGCTAGTGATAGAATCGGTAAGATTCAGGTACGAGAGGACAACGAGGGTGCGATTGCACTTGCTGAGAATCCGCTCAGTTCGTGTAACAGTAAGCACATTGACGTGAGGCACCACTTTCTCAGAAATTTGACAGAGGAGGAGTGTTGGAAATCAGGCATGTCTCTAGCGAAGGACAGCATGCGGACATTCTGACGAAGGCTCTGCCGAGAGATTTTTTTGAAGTTCATCGCAATTTTGCTCTAGGCTCGAGATCTGAGAAGTAGGGGTCTGAGTTGTGTTTTATTTTGGTCGTTGTTTTTTCTGATATATGTTTGATCTGGTCGAGACAACAGCCCCAAGGGAGGGTGTTCGTGATATTTGCTGCTGTGTGTGTCGACAGAGTGACGTAGAACAACTTGATTGGAAAGTTTGAATTGCGGGACTGTCTGCGTTGAAGATCGTTGAGTAGCCACATATTATCAGAACAGCAAGGAACGTTCTGTGGGGATGTTCTTCGTGGATGGTGCATTACCCCGAGTGTGTTTCTTGTGGATAGTGCATCAATCAGAGGATTCATGGTACGTTGTGAAGTACGTTAGCCCCTGTCTGTTGAGCCTTTGTGTTCCGATATCACTGTGTTCTTCTTTTGTGCGTTGGTCTAGCGACATGGATGGTGCTGCGGTGCTGCTGTGCTGCGGTGTTAGCCCGACCCTTGCTCACTCCACCTTTCGACCTGTTCTCCGGGTCCAAGGTCTCATCAATTCAACATATTTTCCCCAGAAGCCACGAGTTTACCAACACGCCACGAACTCCACGCCCGCACCCAAGTACCGCCTAAGCATTGCCTCGGGCATGTGCAACAGCACCGCCGGTGGCGTACCCGGATGAGCTATTGGGCTGTTCACCCCGCAAGCCTGTTGGCCCCGCCTACGTCTCCGACGGTTCATCTGGCAGGAGTTCGACCTATGCTGGCCGTGTTTCCATGCACGAAGTGCCTGACCAGCGTGTACAAAAACGATAACATGTTTGCACGTACAGCTTACGTAGGCGCATGCCTTTTCGGGGTCTGGGATCTTCGTTGTCTCTTGACAGCCATGCATAAGATCTAATCCTCTGCACGGACATGCTTATTCACCTGACAACCTCACGGACTGCAACCTGTTGAACTACGTAGATTGTATACGTGCCTCTGAGATGCTGCGGCCTTATTCTGTGACGGTCTTGGAGTGTCTGTACCAAGCGCCGTAGGTCATGTTCGGCTTGTACTGGCAAAACACCGAGAATAATTGAATTTGGAGAAATCGTACTTCCCCTCTTGAAGCCCAAATTGGCTGAAACTTGTCGTGATAGCCTGACACTGAGGTGGAATCATTGTATCGGGTATTTCCATCGTATCTTGGGGTGGGAATGGTGAATCCAGTGGATCTACATGCGCAAGGTGCAAGAGGGTGCGTTCGGACCCAAGGCATGGACTCTCCCGATAATTAAATTTTGAACACACCATGCTTATCCCCTGCCACACATAATCGCCTCAAACCTTTTGCATTACGTGGCAATACAACATAGGCACATGGCGGCAGCATAATGAGGCTGCAAAATAACTACCTCGCGCGAAGGTCGGTTCCCTCCCTCATCTTGGAGCTACTGCATGGTGGTACGCTCTAGCTAAAGTCCAACTTTTTCATCCTAACGTGCGTAACTGGACATATAAAACATACCCTAATGTGCCCTGGCATCTTGTTTTCACAAATCTCTTGAAAACTAGACAGTTTAGCCTCTCGTTCGCCCTCTCAAGCCGGTGCTAGGTGCGGAGGTCTGTTGCCGAGTGAGCCGCCTGATCATACGGGTTTCCACAGGGGTTGCTTTCCCGTTGGAAGCTTTTTTTTGCCTACTTCCTATTTTTTTTTCAGCCTTGCAGCACATGATGATCCGTTCGAATACAGCGGAGTCCATCAGCAACAACAGCTCAGCGCCACTACCACCACACGCCTGCACGACACAGCAGTCGTATTCCTCCGACAAACAGCCTTCACCAGTTGAACCTCGGCGGCAATTACAACGCACCCTCGGCAATACATACCTCGACAGGAGCAGTAGCACGTCATCATCACCGGCTCCCCGAAGAAGAAATGGCTAAGAACACAAGACCGGCGTGCCGTCATCCAGACTGTACCAAGCAGGCAATATTTGGTGCGCCGGGCAAGAAACCCGAGTTCTGCAGCCATCACGTCCAGGACGACACTATGGTCGACAGAAAGAACCCCAGGTGCGGTCACCAAGGGTGCGGCAAGGTGGCGTCGTTCGGCGTGGCGGGCAGCACGAAACGCGAGTTCTGCGGCCGGCACGCTCCCCGCTCTACCATGGTGAACCTCGTCAACGTTTCGAGGTGTGGTCACCCGGGCTGTGGCAAGTACCCGTCGTACGGCGTCGAAGGTAGCAAACAGGCTCAGTTCTGCTCGGCGCACGCGCCTGAAGGGATGACTAACGTTCGTTCGAAGAGATGCAGCCATCAAGGCTGCACCAAGCAGCCGTCGTACGGCGCCCGGGGAACAAATAAGGCAGAGTTCTGCCTTCTTCACGCTTCCCCGGGGATGGTCGACGTGTCCAGCAGGAAGTGCAGTCAACCAGGGTGCACAAAGCATCCGTCATTTGGTGTAGACGGTGACAACAGAGCCAGGTTCTGCCTCAATCACGCTTCGCCGGGGATGGTCAACGTCGTTCGCAGGCGATGCAAGACCCAAGGATGCATGGCGAAACCGTCGCATGGGGCCGAAAGCACCAAACGGGGTGAATTCTGCCGCCGGCACGCGCCGCCGGGTATGGTCAACGTTGTTTCCAGACGATGCGAGCACTCCGGGTGCTCCACTCTCGCCTCGTTCGGCACCGAGGGTAGCAAAACGCCTCGGTTCTGCAAGCGGCACGCGCCGCAGGGGACATTCAACGTGTCCAAGAATAGGTGCAGGCACCAAGACTGTTGGAAAGAAGCGTCGTATGGCGAGCCAGGGAACAGCCTCAGGGTCTTCTGCGCTCTCCACCGTACAGCCGGCTCGGTGGTTTTGAAAACGTTGAAGAAGAGGGCCGGCGGGTGTAAGCGTGGGAGCTCGGCAGGGAACGGCGAAATTAAGCTAGAGCAAGGTGCCATCCTTTCAGCCGACGACCCCGCTGCGGTAGCGGAACCCTTCGTGGGCTTCGTCACAAAACGAAGGAGACTGAACGGACTCGCCGCAAGTTTGGCTCCAGGTGGGAAAGCGTTTCGATTCGTTGTAGCAGGCCGGTTATCGTTGGTATTTTGGAGGGCGAAGAAGATGGCTGCTTCTGTCCATGCGTTTGCCATCGTGTCGACCCCACTCGCCACGGTTCTGGACGGCACAGACCGGTGCTCTCGTGTTTGGATGTTTGTCTCAGCCTTTTCTTGTCTGCAGAAGCGGGTCGTTGCTCGATTACAACCCATTTATTGCTGGTGCCGCAGGACCCCCCGATGACGTTGCGTGGTACAGCAGAGCCGCTACACTTCGAAGAGAAAATATTGTAGAGACAGTACGATTCTACATAGGAGGGCAGGAATGACCTGTCTACAGAGCCACTACAAATAACAATCGCGTTTCGGAACAAAATGCATCGCACTCGGAGGTACCACCTTCTGTAAGAACAGTTATACATTTTTGATGGCTGGTCGTTAGCGGTGGAGGCTGTTCGGGTGTTATTTTCCCTCATGTTTGCAGGCGGTTGTTGAACCTTGAGAGTCTTGCATGTTCTTTGAAGCAGCTGTACCTTTCTTTCCAGCACATTAGCGGTTAGAACAGCGAAGAACACCTTGGTTATTCACAGGTCACAGATACCCGTATAGACAGCAGTTTCAAAAACGCACGTCTGTACACTCCGTGGTTGCGCCTGCTGCACGCTGGAGGAACAACAACACGCCCGCCAGAAAAGTTTGAACAGCTGAGTAAAGTGGGTAGACCATTCAAGTACTACTGCTGTAGCAATCTAAGAGGTGGGATGCCGTTGTGGCTCGAATTGCTTCTGTCGGTCCCATTTTCCCTCTCTTCAACTCAGAACAACACCCGCCGCCTGTTTGTTGGTGTTGTCTTTTCTACTTCTATCGACTCCCACTTTTGTGCCTCTGTGGTACTGCTGCTGTTTTATTCTGCTGCTCGGGACTTGGTTGCTCATATTGCTTTGTTACACCTCCTCCCTGGCTCAATCCCTTCGTAAGGCACAGACAAACACACGCTGTGGTACATAACTAACAAGCACCCACGACCCGCAGCACAGCTGCACGGAGTCGGAACGTTGGAGGACGACCATAGAACGAGGTTGTTTGAATGTAGAACAAATAGTGGCGACAAGTAGGTCTGCACCCAGGTCGCTGAGGACGTGAGTTCGTCTCTTGTCGAAATCTTTTTTTCCGTTCATCACCTGTCTGTTTGATTTGTTCTCCCCCGTCGTGGGCGCAACACGTACGTGTATGTATTTGTACTGCATGATGGTTTGGTTGCGTGTGCGTACCTGTATCCGTCTTCCTTTGATTTTTTTGAAAACACGCACAGCACACGCGCGCTCCTGTCTGGATTCACATCCATCGTTTTATTTGTACGCAATTTTGCTTCTATTCTTTTGCGTGGCCTCTTCTTCTCTCCGAAATGAGCGACACACACACACACCACCAGATGATGCTACGGTCACTGCCCTACATACGTTTGCATGCTAAGCGCGCGAATACAACGCTTCTCGGCCTGCCTGTGGCGAGGGTGTTTGCGTTTCCTTGGCGACAATACGGCTCTGATGAATTTCAAGTCGTTTGGCGGCCTAGAATCCGCGGCGGTGAGAGACGCAGCATCAGAAACAGGCAAAAAAACATGTTGCGGGAAGACACAATAAGTGCTTACTCGCCTACCAAGTAGCTGTCTTTGCTCTTGCGTGTTCTTGCATCACCCCCTGCCGCGGTGCTCTCCTTACCCCACTCCGGAGGGACGCCTTGTATAGCACATCACAGGAGCTCGCAGCTGCATACACCTCGAGCATAGAAGACAAAACGAAAGCATACATTCAGCCGCAGGTTGCAAAAAGAATCAGCTCCTGGAAGCACCAGTCCTACGTCCATAACCGTACTCAAAGCATAATATTTTCGGCAAACGCGATAATACTGCCAAGAACGGCGATATGCTCACCAATGAGGCGAAGCTAGGCTGGATGGGCGATTGCGGACGGATGGAGGGAAATAAAGCAGAAGTCCATCACAAGCTTGCAGAGTTGCAGAGGGGCGGGAGAGAGTGCTGAGGCATGCAACGATAGGGCGGAGGAAGCATTGCTTTGCCAATGGCTCTCTCCATATCCATCTACGTCGATATTTGCTGTCCTAATCGACCATAATAGTTGACTAGGAGCATTTTTTAGCGATCAATGAGAAAGGTAGCATTTTTGTCCAGGGTTGTGCAGTTTTACGACTTAGGGGACTTGGGAGATGGTGTACCGCAAGCCAGAGGCCGAGGAGAGTCATCACACAGTATGTTACACAGCGTACCCAAGCATGATAGACCATGTGTTATCATTCAGTATGCGTTTCACACAGCGGAGCCTAGGGCGACTACGGTGCGGTACAGAGACATTTGAGTGTTGTGTCCGCAAAAGTATTCCCAAATGGGCGTCCATTACTAGGGAGATTAAGAGAGAGTTGACCCTTTTTGGCACGGGTCTCTCTCTCGAACGATAACAGCTCCTGTACCGCCTTTGTTTCGCTTGTCGATTCGCGGCAATCGGCTTAAAATGAACACATCGTGCAAGGCATTCGTCCATGAGTATGCAGTATTGTTTGACGGTCATCGTCGCGACGGTTCAAATAGTACACTTGTCACAATGTACTTTCGTTTGTCGGAACTGCAGGCGAGACAAGAGCAGCGGGAGAAGGAGGGGTTGAGCGGCAGCAGCCCAGAATCTCCGAGGTTAGAATTTAGTGGTATCCTTGCCTCGTACTGCTACGTTCAGAACAAAGGCACATCTCAGCTCCCCGCCGTTGTCGTACAATGGAAGAGGGGTGGCAGGCACACACGGAGCGGTACATCGGAACTGCTGTGAATTCCCATTTGGAGGTACTAGTGTAGGCTTTTCGGACGATCGTCACTTAGGTCGTGCTTTCCGAATGTATTGCAGAGGGAAACGAGAGAGCACATCAACCTTCTCCTACTGATGTTTAGAATGACGCTGTTTGTTGTCCTTGTCCAAAGCTGGTCCATCCCGGTAGTGTTGCTATGCTTCAGTACGCCTCTTGCCGACGAGGCCGCCCCACTTTTCTTGACCACCACCACTGCTTCACTGCTGCCGCTGGTGTAAACAACTTCAAGAAAGGTGGGGCACAGGCTGCATGTAAGTACGTTCTGTCGTGGTGGAAGCTTTTGCCTTTGCTATCGCGTCTGAGGCCAAAACATGGCCTCCATGTGCGGAGACTGATGTTGTTCATGTTGTGTGTGGGCATCTTCCGTGCTGCAAGTGGCGGGCTTACGTTTATCAGGTGCGAGCCTATGGACGGCTTGGTTGCGCCAACACTGCCGCCGTTAAAAAGTATCAAGATTGCCGGAAAGTTTGGCTTTGGAAACCTTGGCTATTTCTTTCAATGATTTTTCAAAAATCGCGCGGTCCCCCCATTTGTCGCATGTATGTTTCTCATGGCCAAGAGGTAATCCTTACCCGCCGCCCGTTCACCTTCCCCTGCCAAAGGAATTTGCAAATAAACATTTCGGAAACGACAACTCTCTTGACTGCAACTGGTTATTGCGTTTAACTTCAGAGACAGATTGACAAGAAACCAAGGTGACCAAGAAAATATCACAGCCCTTGGAACGATTTCCAAACCTCCCTTAGTCCACGACGAGGATATATAAACGATGCGATTCGGGCATGCCGATTCGGGAATGCTCTCGACGAGGGGGTTCCAACACTGCCATTTTCGGCATCACGACTCTTTCTGGTGTGGAACGATTGAGCTGTGAAATCGATCCGGGGGTCTCAAATCTTATGTCACCTATGCACACGGCATGCTGGGCGCCATTTGCACCGTTTGGTATGTTCGACACGCCAGGCGGGGTCACGGAGGAGAGTTGTTCACCATTCCTCCTGATGTGCATGCCTTATATTTTATCGCCAAAACGGCACTTGCCGTTCGTGAACAACAAACAAAACGTTTTCGCATTCTTAGAGCAGCAGGCAACGCGAGCCCGGCTTTTCCGTTTCTCAAGAATATCGCGTCATCCCTACGAGTACGGGACAATAACGCGCAAAGGGTTCCAACTCATGGACGTACCAAGAATAAACCTGTGTGACCCACGAGATACCACGCTCACTCTGCCGTGTTCGTCGTTGCTAGTCAACGAACGCCGAAAATCGTTATAATTTTCCCGTTGTACAGTGGCAAAGATCCCGAGGGCCTTTGATTCCAAAGAAAGCCCGTCATTTTTTACCTTTGTCTGACTGTCGCACACGACTCCACCACTTGTCGCTTAGGAGAAACATCATGGAACAGCCGGCACAGCAAGACCCAAAACTCAACAATTTTCCCGAATCGAAAGTTCGGCGGACTGCTGCCTTTTCCCGGGCACGATCCCAACTACCAATGCACACGTCTCACCCCTGAACTTGTTGGTCCGCACTCCGGACCACAGCAGTCGGCGAGTTCGCGGAAGGTCATACAGCATGGATGGGGGAAAAGGCACTTCTTTTCCAAGGGTATTCTGAAACAGGATCATCTTTATCATCTGCAACGATCATACAAGGCACCATAAAAAAAGTACATGGACGAAACTGTAGTAAAATTCTCCAACAAACCGCGCGAACGAAGACACGAAGCACCATCTGTAATTCTAAAGCCATCGTAAAAAGTATGGCACTCCATTGGCCTCCAGAACCTGAGACCGGACTGAAACAAAATGCACCAACACCAAGGTGCGCCTCAACCCAAAACCAGCGGCTGGCTGGCTTCCCACGAGAGACATCCATCAGAAGAGGACCGAAAATACCCCTGCCCTACCACCACTCCCGCATTATGGCGTGGTTGATGCTGCTGCTGCCGCGGCTGCTGGCAACGTTTCCTCGTCGCCATGGATTCCACTTCTTGCCCCGCCCTCTCGAACGCTTCCCCGATCCACCGCTGCAACCTCTCTTGTCGCCGGACACCCCTGTCGCGGGATGCGCGCAGCGCCTCTTCCCTCAAAGCCCGGAAGCACCGTCTCGCTAGCTCCAAGCGGCCCGCGGCCTCCACGGCCGCCTCTCGTCCTGCTACAACGCCGCGCCGCAGGAGGCACGCCGCCGTGAGCTTGCCTGCCGCAAGCACCACACGGATGTGCGCGTCGCAGCGTTGGTTGCAGCTGGCGACCGCCGCCTCCGACGCCCGGACCAGCTCCACGTGTTGCGCCTGGCTTGCCGCCAGCCTATCTCGGAGCGTGGCTACTTCGAAGGCGCTGGCGCTGTTGCTGCGGAGAGATTTTCCTTGTAACCTCTCTGATTCTCCTGACCTCTTGTCGCCATTCCCAACAGCGTCTAAACGCATGCCTGTCCTCGCCGCCTCCTGGAGATCTTGTGCGGCCTTACCTGGCCCCGAACCCGCGGGGTCACTCAACATGCGCCCTCCCACAGGCCCGTTATTTGCCTCGTACGTGGCACGTAAGTCCTCAAGCCTGCCTTCTCCCTCCCATTCCCGGCCACCCAAGTCTCTAATCCTCCCGACGAGGGCACACACTCTCCCGGCGTCGGCGGCATGCAGGCTGGCGATCGATGCCCCCAGCTGCTGCTCAAGGAGAATCACGCGTCGATCCAACTCTCTGACCGTCTCTCGCAGCCCCGACGCCTCTCTCTGCGCCACCGAGCACTGCTCCCTCGCCCCAAGCGCCGCCGCCGTAGCCCGCAGAACCTCCGCCTCGATCGCCTCGACCTCCTCGCGGTGCCGCCGCGAAGCTGAGGCGGCGTCCTTCTCGGCCTTGCGCCTACCCGCGGTGGCCGCGTCCGCTTCCTCTCTCGCTAGACCGGCGGCCGCGCCCGCCCCCTCCGCCGCGACGCGGGCCGAGCTTCCGGCCGCCTCGGCCTCCTCACCCCGCTCTTGAGCCTCCCGCAGCGCCACGCGCAGCCTCTCCGCCCGCCGCTTGTGGTGCCTGACTTCTTCGCGGGCCGCTCGTAGGGACTCTTCTAGCGCGAGGAAGGTCTTGCGCGCCCTCTCTCGCTCCTTGGCCTCCCGTGTCCCCAACCTATCGGTGAAGGAGGCGACGGGGGTGCTGCAGGTGGAGGCGACGCGATCGCACTGCCGTCGTTGGGCAACGTGCTTATCGTTGTCGCAGGAGCCCCTCCACGACGACTCGGGGGTGATCCCGTGTTCTATTCGACCGCCAATTGTGTGGTGATGGCGAGTCTGGCTTTCCCTCCTCGTCGGAGTCTCGTCACCGTCGTAACGACAGACATCGGTGTTGTCAACCCCTTGAGTCGAAGCGCTTCTGTCGAGAGCCTCGCCGCCGGCTTGGCCGCCACCTCTCCCCGATTGACCACGCCGATGATCGCCGATTTCGTTCTCCCGTGATCTGTTCCGTTGCCGTTCGATTTCGCCATTGGCGGCTCCCAGCAGAGATGCCAGACGACTCACTTCGCCTTGGAGCTCACGCACGCGTCCCTCCGATTCGACACGGGACGACCGTTCCTTCTCGAGCTCGTCGCGGGCCGCTCGACAAGCGTCCGCCTCCTCTCGCCGCGACAAGGCTAGGCCTGCAATGGTTTGTTCCTGTCGAGCAAATCAGTGCGCCGCCGTTCATTGGGTTTGGAAGACCGTGTTGAAGAGGCGTGTCAGGCTCCTCGGGACGCAGAAGCGGGAAGGGAAGGAGGGCGGGCTCGGTAGCCTCCTCAAAAACGTTCTCGAGAAGAGCACTCAAGATATCTAGCGCGACCTTCAATTCAAACATTAGGCCATAAAATTAATGAAGCCGTGAAGTGTACCATAGGGAAAGTGCTCCGAGGCGGAATCCAACATTCGTAAAATATTGCCCTGCGTTGCTCAAGGGCACTGCAACGTAACGCTCTAAACGTCACCTGAGAGCACACGCCTTGTCGGCAGTACCCGAACGCTTTGGCAGACACCAGCACTGCACCTTTATCGGGAGCTCTACAACTGCCAGGACTCGCGAAGCGCCCAAAGTCAGCGACGGTCTCTTAGGACAGAACATCATCACCCCCCCACACATGCACTAACACACCTGCTGACGACATTTATTTTTCAAGGCCACGGCGCCTGCCCACGCCTGCGCGGCCTTCCTGCCCGCAGCCTCCGTCTCTGCAAGAGACCTGGCGCTCCCCTCAAGCAGGGCCTCGCGCCGCGAGGAACCGACGTCCTCCTCGGCGGCCCGAAGTCGTGTCCGCAGGACAGCGATCTGTTCGGGGTGGGAAACGCATAAAGAAACCCGTTCACTGCTGTGTCTGCATTGTAGTACAGCCGAAAAAAAGTGTGCATGACTCTCTTCATCACCGTCATAACGACCAAAGAAAAACTACCAGGTCTTGATTGTGAGCCAATACTTTTTGGCTCACTCTCCCCTCCGAGCGATCACTGAGCAAACGCCGACAAGACACTCGCCTCTCCCTCCCGTGTCGCAGCCGCCTCCACAAGCTCCGCAACCTCTTGTTGGGCGGCAGCTGCCTTCTCTCCCATCTCCCGCCCTCGCGCTTCTGCCGCAGTCAGGCGCCTCTCGAGCCCCTCCCGTGTCACTTCAAACGTCGACTCCAGCTGCATCCCCGTTCACATAGACATGGACGTATCGGCGGAGAAGGAGGTGGGCGATTGATGAGGTAAGGGGCACAACAGTGAACAATTCATTGCCTCAAGTCATGAAGCCATTGGCCACGTATGATCCCTTTCATGAAGGAGGACAGTTTCGCTTCCGAGAATCCTAACAAAACACCGCCGATAGTGGGGCGCTCTCTACTCCCCTGCCATACGTCAAACAGAAAATTGGTGAGTGCCGTGAATCCCCTTCATTCTTGATGTGACATGGTCAACATCTACCTCCGACCGTGGTATTTAGATTTGCTACCGTTCCCGCATATCTACTGTATCGATTATTCTGGAGGGGGGGATCGGATTGCTCGACCCTCAGCTCACACAAGCATCAGATACAATCTGGTGGATCAAGATTGAGGAGAAGGATGCGTGTCAAATCAAAGGACCACCAGGTAGTTAGACCGGCCACACCCCAGGTAATGACTTCAAGAGCACAGCTCGCCTTTCGGACAGCCTCTGCCAGATTTTCTTCCACGAGGTCCTCCACGGCCGTCGTTGTTCTCTCCTCCAACTCCAGGGCCCACGCTCGTGCCTCCGCCGCTTCTGCCTGCGCTCGGCGCAAGCTCAGGCGACAGTCGAAAAGCTTGCGAAAAGATGGAGCGGGTGTGCCACACACGCCGCAGACGTGCTCGCCGCTGCTTTCGCCACCGCCGGTGTTGGTGTGGAAGTCAGCAACACTCCCGGCCTCTGCTTGATCGTCGTCTCTCGTCCTCCCCACGGCTGCTGCCGGCTCGGCGGCGCCTGGCAGTCTGCGACTCCCTTCGAAAACCTTGAGAGGGGCCGCCACTGGCGTTCGTACGCAGTTACCGCTGTCGCCGAAGGTGACCCTACCCTCCTCCGCGTCGTCGTCGTCGTCCGTAAGCCGTGTTATCCCCCTCGCCTGCGACTCCTCGTTGTCCGGCCGCGCTGCGGAATGCTCCGGATACGAATCCCACCGAGGGAAGGACTCGCGCATGTCATCACCACGACCGCTGCCGCTTCCTGCACTGCCAGCACAGTCTCCCCTGCTGCTGCAACCGTCCTCCTCTTGCTCCTTACCTTCGCTAGTAGCCGGCTGGTGCCGGAGGAGCTGCCCCGGTGTCCTCCTAATGTGCGCGACCTCAAGTAGAGACTGCAAGGCGGCGTCCCTGTCTCTCTTCATCTTGCCGATTTCTGATTGTGCCGTGGCGAGAGCATCCCGCATGTCGTCTAGCGCGGCCTCGGAGCACCTGGCTGTCTCCTCCGTTGCCGATCGGAGAGCGAGTATTGCTGCCTGATCGTTTGTCCAGGTGTGGTATTTCAAAGGGCCAAACGGGAACGAAAACGCGCGAAACGTGGCCGACGATGACGTTGACCCGAAACGATTTCGGTGTGGAGCGAGGCAGTACACATTTACTGTACAAAAAGCCAGGTATGGGTCGTCTTCGTAGAAAACTCCTTGCCACTCTGCCCAACACTTCTACTTCGCGCAAACGTACACAGATGACACTGAAATCATGTCACCATGTAGGTAAGACAGAAACTGAACATCCGCAAGCCTGCTTTGTACGATGTCAATTTACCTGTGCTACACCAAGCCCATTCCTCAGCTCCGCCTCTCTGCCCCTGACCACCACCGCCGCCTCCTTGCTTGCCTTCCATCGACCTGCATCGAGACCCTCCTGTACGCCGGATACTTCAAGGTCACTGACAAGGCTCCCACCTTCGCCCCCCAACTCTCCGGACCATACTGCCCAAGCGCCCCTCTCTTCCGCCAGCTGCCGCTGGTCGGCCTCCGGTGGTTCCTCCTGTGCATCCTGTTTCAGTAGCGTTAAGGTCCCCGCCGCTCTTCGAATCTCCTGACCTCCTACCGCCGCGGCCGCCTGGCCCTCTCCGTGGCTCGCCGTGCTCGCACGTCTTCCGGCCCTGGCTTTAGCAACGAGCGCGGCGGCCCTGACTTTCGCGGCGGTCACCTGGTACGTATTTCCGAGCGACTCGCGGGAGGTATCCGGGTTGGAAACCGCTGCATCCATTTCGGCTCGAAGCGCCTTGTTAGACGTTATTGCGGCCTGTTTCGGTAGATGCGGCGCGGCGGGGGCGAGGTAGTGGGGCCTAGGCCTGATGGAATTTCCTGTGATACTGGCGCCGGGGCTCGAGAGACACGGGAAAAATCAATGTTGTAGGAGGGGGCGTATTTTTCGCCTCCATGTTACGCAACATTGCGGAGCGAGGAAAGGCTGCCCTAGCAAGCCAATCGCCACGAAAACCAGGTCCCCGTTCTTTTCCTGAACGGCTACTCCAGATGCAGCCGGCATCGGCTTCTTTCACGGCGGAGGAGCACTCCTGTCATTGCTTTCTTCTATTATACGGTCAGATGCTGGCAGGACATAAGAGAGTCAGGACATGGAGTCTGAAAGCTGCGAACATACAAAATGCAGCGTCAGAAAAATAGCCATAATCGAAGACGTGGTGAAAAAACAGCGACACGCACCGTAGGTGCCGGTTGCTCACGTTGTAGTCATGTACGGAGTACCTGCGTCGCTACAAGAACGGTGTCTCATCTCCGTTCTGTGTGTGTGCGTTGTGTGTCTCCTGTTCTGTCTCTGTACCCCTCTCTCTGCCTATCCCTCTCTGCTTGTTGCCTCACCTCTATCTCTACCAACGAAGCGTCAAAATGATCCCTAAGGCGCGCGTTCTTGGTTGCCAACGAACTCGATCGCTCGTCTAATACCAGCGCCGCCTGTCTGAGAAAATTGGCAGCAGTTCCTGTTGCGCCAAACCGGGGAGAAGGGAACAAGCAAGGTTGCCCACGGGTAGTTCCGGGTAGGGAGCGAGAATTCTCCATGGGGAACTCCTGCGGTTGCGTACGAATACACGAGCACCCCACTCCGTGTTACCAGGGTCTATCATACACCTCACATTCATCCAAACCGCTTGTAAATGCGTGAGCAGCCATTGCCAATCCTGACCCAAATCCATTAATCATAAATGATTCCCCCCCGTATTTTTCCCTTCCCCTTGCCCGAGCCTCTCCCATGATCTTGTCTCACCCGCTGTCATGTTGGGGGCTATTTCCTCGTCCGCTCGGCTAGTGACCATCACCTCGCTGGCACAGAAGAGAAGAGAAGGAGCCAACCAGAACAAGGGGAAATTTGTTGATCACAAGGAGCACCTCAACGCAACAGAGTGTGCAAAATAAGCACAATTTTCACGCTTCATGGGGGGCTTGGTATGTCGAGATCCAACCAGTCCCTCTAGCAATATGTACCCTCAGGGTGCACAACCACGAATGATTCGGACATGATGTGAATGACACACTGCTGTCGACTGGTTCGGGGTAGACCACATGTAAATACGGTAGATGCCCGTTGCCTCTTTTTCCGATCGCTCGATCTGCATCGCATTTGCCGTTTCCATGGACCCTACTGCTGTTGCGACAAACATGCTGCGGTCACAACGTTATTGGTGGCACCCTCCATGGCACCTACATATGTATGATACATATGTATGACACGAGTCCTGCTTGAAGGGTTACAACGCAGACGATATTGTTGAAGTTAGGGAGCGGGGGGATGAGAGATCTATGCTTGTCGTCGAGCATAGTCGATGTCCCTGTTGTGTCAAACTATCGTAGACAGCAATGTAGCGAGCCCGCAATAGCAGGCACGAATCATTAGGCACTAGCAGGAGGGCTAGGCCTCCGAGATAAAGCAACTATACGTCCCCAACAATAGGCGATAGCCCTCTATGCCCTGTGCCAGCTCGGCAGGAAGGCCAACCCTTACGAAGAACAAATGTGCGAAGGCATGCGAGCACGCACCTCATAACGATTCCGTTGCCTCGCGTTCTCTGCTACCACCCCTCCGCCGCGTCTGACCAGCAACGCATACCGGCGGACTCTCCTCCGACAAACACCACGATTCGTCACACCAGTGACTACACCCGAGGGTGTGAATGTGAACGTGATCAGGGGATTTACCGACGAAGTACGTGGAGTGGGCACCATCAGCTGGGCAGTGGGCACCCATGAGAAGGGGCGGCGGAACCTCGACATAAGGAGACAGAGCTCCCCGAAACGGCATAATAAACCGCTACCGAGAGACCGAGAGAGCAGATAGAGACAGGGGATCGGCACGTTGCACACACACTTGCAGAGCTATCCTAGCCACCTAGAGTTTACTCTGGTCGTCGTGATTTCTGTGGGTCCCAGTGAAGTCGGTGGCGACTACTTTTCAGTTTTCAGCACGATCCTGCCATCCTGAGAGCAAGGAGACTCGGGACTTGAACTCCTTCGAGGAGGGTTTGTAGCCAACTTTGAGCACAACGCCAAAGGCTGGAGAAGGTCTTGGGGAGCCGCGAGTGCGGTAGTATTCGAATAACGCATGGGAGAACCAGTAGGCGTGTTCCTGTAGTCCTTTCCGGGTGGTTGTTGATTCCCTCTCGAGCGGTAGAGCCGGATCGGAAGAGGGAACAAGCCGCTGTGGGTTCTTTTTCACGCGACACGAACAACGTGCCAACTGCGACAAGCTGTAGCAGCAGTGCTTGTGAGGATGACGCTGCTCGCCCCCGAGCCGATCGACTTCGACGACACCTGGGTTCTCCTGGAGTCGTCTCTCATCACGATTCTCCAGGACCCGGGGCAGGGATTCCCCAATGACCTCTGGATATCTCTGTACACCGGCGTGTACAAGCTGTGCACCAAGCCCATGGATCCTCAACACAGTAAACTTTACGCCCGACTAAAGGTATGTACGAAGTATGTCGACTGCGTTGCTGTATGCAAACACACTGCTGTACGTCTTCGGCTTGGATATGGGTAAACGAACGTGCTTTTCATGGGATGCTACAGCCGCTAGCTGCAAGGTCAACGCCCTTAGATACTCTTGAAGTCATTGCTCTGTCGCTGTGCGTCGTACACGAAAACACACCGTGAATTTGCACGAGATATCACACCCCCTGGACCAATTTTCAAGCCCCGACACACTGCAAGCACAACCAGCACGGGTGCCAAAAATGGCGGTGTTGGAACCATCTCGTGAAGAGCTTTCCGACAACGTATCATTTGACTATTTGCATTCTCTTGGCGGTGGAGTGATCGAGCTTGAAAAGGAGGTCCAGGAAGTTTGTGGTTTCTTCTACCATGGTATCCCAAAACGGAGTGTTTATACGAAAAATAGATACGTCGGGTGCCCTTCTGCATGACATGGATTGATGCAAAACGGAGTACTTCGTACATTGTTGGGTGTTCATCCCACGGTAGATCCATCCACCCACCTATATTACGAATACTACAAAGCAGCCGGGAGCCCCACCGCCTAGACTGCTACTGCTATGACTCGCACTCCTCCACAAGACGCTCCTCGTTGTATGATGCCCAACACCAACCGTGCACTGTGGAAGGCCGTTCGTCTGTGTGCATCGGTAGGTTGCAGCTACAGTAATAGTTGCGTGCGTCAACTCAGGTAGATCAGCGTCAAGCCATGCGAACATGATAACATTGTGGGCTGCATAATAGTACGAACGAAACGACGTTATCTTTTTTCTATCCAGTCCGCCGGATGACAACGAAATTAAAAGCAACGTTGACGCTTGTCCAACACGGACAATCAGCCTCATGTCTCGTCTTCGCTGCGTGTTGTGTGACGGGCGTGCGGGCCGTTTCGGCTCCTGATGCCCATTCCCCACCCCTTGTGAATAACCACTGCCATGGAGTCTGAATGCAAGCGGAACGGCGGTGGCAAGTTAGAGCAGGTGGCGGGTGTCGCCTGCGTTGAAATTTCCTCCGTCGAAGCTGCGACCCGTGTACATTCACCCAAGAACAGAGGCCTATGGCTACCCACCGTGCAGCGGTAACGCCGCGACGGCAAATGGCGACCCATAAGCAGTACGAGCAGTGGGCTAACAACAGCGTTCGATCCCCCACCACGCCAGAAGTTCGCGTACAACAAGCGCCATACACCCTGCGTGTAGCTCCACTGCTGTAGGCCTTGACACAACCGAACGCCATACTTCACGTAGATCCACCTTACACATACACAATAAAGCGTATGTTTCTACCCCGCACCGCCCCCCCCCCCGTTCTAGACTTAAGTGGATTGGCGCTGTTGGCAAAGCGCTGTAAAACACGCCACCCCAAATATAGCCTCCATAGTATGCGCTACCAAAGACGCGTGACGCATGGACGAGTGGAGTGAGTATAGCTGTTTACGGAAACCTCACAGGTCGAGTAATGTAGGAGATTGCCGGACACATAGACGTGTTGAGTGATTATAGCTGTATACTGAAACCTCAAGAGTTGGNCACGCCACCCCAAATATAGCCTCCATAGTATGCGCTACCAAAGACGCGTGACGCATGGACGAGTGGAGTGAGTATAGCTGTTTACGGAAACCTCACAGGTCGAGTAATGTAGGAGATTGCCGGACACATAGACGTGTTGAGTGATTATAGCTGTATACTGAAACCTCAAGAGTTGGGTGAGGTTTGAGATTGCCAGACACATGGACGGGTTAAGTGGGGATAGCTGCATACTGAAACCTCACAGATGCACTGGTTTTTGTGTTTGCCAGACACATAGACGCGTTGAGTAGGGATAGCTGCATACTGAAACCTCACAGATGGATTGGTTTTTGTGTTTGCCAGACACATAGACGCGCTGAGTGGCGATAGCTACATACTGAAACCTCACGAGTTGAGTGATGTTGGATAGTGCCAGACACGTTGACGCTTTGAGTGAGGAACGACAGATACTGAGACCTCACGGGTTGAGTGGCGTTTGCGATTGCCGGACACATAGACGCATTGAGTGACGAAAGCTGCATACTGAAACCTCACAGGTTGATTTGTATTGGAGATTGCCGGACACATAGACGCGTTGAGTGGGGATAGCTGTATACTGAAAATCCACCG